GTCATCTTTGATTTCTTTCATCAGTATTTTACAGTTTTCTGAGTACAAGTCTTTCTCCTCCTTAGGTAGGTTTATTCCTAGGTATTTTATTCTTTTAGTTGCCATGGTAAATGGGATTGTTTCCTTAATTTCTCTTTCTGATTTTTCACTGTTAGTGTATAGGAATGCCAGAGATTTCTGTGCATTAATTTTGTATCCTGCAACCTTACCAAATTCATTGGTTAGTTCTAGTAGTTTTCTGGTGGCATGGCATCTTTAGGATTTTCTATGTATAGTATCATGTCATCTTCAAACAGTGACAGTTTTACTTTTTCTTTTCCAATTTGTATACCTTTTATTTCTTTTTCTTCTCTGATTGCCGTGGCTAGGACTTCTAAAACTATGTTGACTAAGAGTGGACATCCTTGTCTTGTTCCTGATATTAGTGGAAATACTTTCAGTGTTTCACAATGAAGTATGATGTTTGCTGTGGGTTTGACATATATGGCCTTTATTATGTTGAAGTGGATTCCCTCTATGCCCATTTTATGGAGTATTTTTTATCATAAATGAGTGTTGAATTTTGTCAAAAGCTTTTTCTGCATCTGTTGAGATGATCATATGATTTTGACTCCTTAATTTGTTAATGTGGTGTATTGTATTGATTTATTTGCATACATTGAAGAATCTTTGCACCCCGGGATAGATCCCACTTGATCGTGATGTATGGTCCTTTTAATATGTTGCTGGATTCTGTTGGCTAGTATTTTGTTCAGGATTTTTGCATCTATGTTCATCAGTGATATTGGTCTATAATTTTCTTTTTTTGTGGTATCTTTTTCTGGTTTTGGTATCAGGGTGATGGTGGCTTTGTAGAACGAATTTGGGAGTGTTCCTCCCTCTGCAATTTTTTGGAAGAGTTTGAGAAGGATTGGTGTTAGCTCTTCTCTAAATGTTTGATAGAATTCGCCTGTGAAGCCATCTGGTCCTGGACTTTTGTTTGTTGGAAGATTTTTAATTACAGTTTCAATTTCATTACTTGTGATAGGTCTGTTTCTATTTTCTAATTCTTCCTGGTTCAGTCTTGGAAAATTGTACCTTTCCAAGAATTTGTCCATTTCTTTGTGGCTGTCCATTTTATTGGCATATAATTGTTTGTAGTAGTCTCTTAAAATCCTTTGTATTGGGCTTCCCTGGTGGCGCAGTGGTTGAGAATCCGCCTGCCGATGCAGGGGACACGGGTTCGTGCCCTGGTCCAGGAAGATCCCACATGCCGCAGAGCGGCTGGGCCCGTGAGCCATGGCCGCTGAATCTGCGCATCCGGAGCCTGTGCTCCGCAATGGGAGAGGCCACAACAGTGAGAGGCCCGCATACCGCAAAAAAAAAAAAAAAAAAAAAAAAAAAAAAAAAAATCCTTTGTATTTCTGCGGTGTCAGTTGTGATTTCTCCTTTTTCATTTCTAATTTTTATTGATTTGCATCCTCCCCCTTTTCTTCTTATTTATTTATTTATTTATTTTTGGCTGCATTGGGTCTTCATTGCTGCGTGTGGGCTTTCTCTCGTTGCAGCGAGCAGGGGCTACTCTTCATTGTGGTGAGCGAGCTTCTCTTTGGGGTGTCTTCTCTTGTTGCAGAGCACGGGGTATGGGCACACGGGCTTCAGTAGTTGTGGCATTCGGGTTCAGTAGTTGTGGCTCGCAAGCTCTAGAGCAGAGGCTCAGTAGTTGTGGCACACCAGCTAAGTTGCTCCACAGCATGTGGAATCTTCCCAGATCGTGGCTCAAACCTGTGTCCACTGCATTGGCAGGTGGATTCTTAACCACTGCACCAGCAGGGAAGTCCCTCCGTTTTTTTCTTGATGAGGCTGGCTAAGGGTTTATCAATTTTGTTTATCTTTTGAAAGAACCAGCTTTTAGTTTTATTGATCTTTGCTATTGTTTTCTTTGTTTCTATTTCATTTATTTCTGCTCTGATCTTTGTGATTTCTTTCCTTCTACTGACTTTGGGTTTCCTTTGTTCTTCTTTCTCTTGTTGCTTTAGGTGTAGGGCTAGATTGTTTATTTGAGATTTTTCTTGTTTCTTGAGGTGAGATTGAATTGCTATAAACTTCCCTCTTAGAAATGCTTTTGCTGCGTCCCATAGGTTTTGGGTCATTGTGTTTTCATTGTCATTTGTTTCTATGTATTTTTTTATTTCTTCTTTTTTGATTTCTTCAGTGACCTTTTGATCATTTAGTAGCGTACTGTTTAGCCTCCATGTATTTGTGTTTTTTACAGTTTTTTTCCTGTAACTGATTTTCAGTGTCATAGCATTGTGGTCAGAAAAGATGCTTGATACGATTTCAGTTTTCTTAAATTTTCCGAGGCTTGATTTGTGACCCAAGATGTGATCTATCCTGGAGAATGTTCCACGTGCACTTGAGAAGAAAGTGTATTCTGCCACTTTTGGGTGGAATGTTCTATAAATATCAATTAAATCTATCTGGTCTATTGTGTCATTTAAAGCTTGTGTTTCCTTATTTATTTTCTGTTTGGATGTTATGTCCATTGGTGTAAATGGGGTGTTAAAGTCCCCTACTATTATTGTGTTACAGTCGATTTCCCCTTTCATGGTTGTTAGCATTTATTTGCCTTATGTATTGAGGTACTCCTATGTTGGGTTCATAAACATTTATAATTTTTATATCTTCTTGGATTGATCCCTTGATCATTATGTAGTGTCTTTCCTTATCCCTTGTAACAGTCTTTATTTTAAAGTCTATTTTATCTGATATGAGTATTGCTACTCCAGCTTTCTTTTGATTTCCATTTGCATGGGATATCTTTTTCCATCCTTTCACTTTCAGCCTATATGTGTCCCTTGGTCTGAAGTGGGCCTCTTGTAGACAGCATATATATGGGTCTTGTTTTTGTATCCATTCAGCCAGTCTGTGTCTTTTGGTTGGGGCATTTAATCCATTTACATTCAAGGTTATTATCAATATGTGTGTTCCTATTACCATTTTTTTAATTGTTTTGAGTTTGTTTCTGTGGGTCTTTTTCTTCTCTTGTGTTTCCCGCCTAGAGAAGTTTCTTTAGCATTTGTTGTAAAGATGGTTTGGTGGTCCTGAATTCTCTTAGCTTTTGCTTGTCTGAAAAGCTTTTGATTTGTCCATTGAATCTGAATGAGATCTTTACCAGGTAGAGTCATCTTGGTTGTAGGTTTTCCTCTTTCATCACTTTAAGTATATCCTGCCACTCCCTTCTGGCCTGCAGAGTTTCTGCTGAAAAATCAGCTGATAACCTTATGGGGATTCCTTTTTATGTTATTTTTTGTTTTTTTTCCTTGCTGCTTTTAATATTTTTTCTTTGAATTTAATTTTTGTTAGTTTGATTAATATGTATCTTAGTGTGTTTCTCCTAGGGTTTATCCTGTATGGGACTCTCTGTGCTTCCTGGACTCAGGTCTATTTCCTTTGCCATGTTAGGGAAGTTTTCCACTATAATCTCTTCAAATATTTTCTCAGATCCTTTCTTTTTCTCTTCTTCTGGGACCCCTATAATTTGAATATTCGTGCGTTTAGTGTCGTCCCAGAGGTCTCTGAGATTGTCTTCAATTCTTTTCATTCCTTATTCTGCTCCTTGGCAGTTATTTCCACCATTTTGTCTTCCAGCTCACTTATACATTATTCTGCCTCAGTCATTCTGTTATTGATTCCTTCTAGTGTATTTTTCATTTCAGTTATTGTGTTGTTCATCTCTGTTTGTTTCTTCTTTAGTTCTTCTAGATCTTTATTAAACATTTCTTGTATTTTCTCAATCTGTGCCTCCATTCTATTTCTGAGATTCTGGATCATCTTTACTATCATTACTCTGAATTCTTTTTCAGGTAGATTGCCTATTTCCTCTTCATTTATTTGGTCTTGTAGGTTTTTACCTTGCTCCTTCATCTGTGACATATTGTGTGTGTGTGTGTGTGTGTGTGACATATTTTTTTGCTTTCTCTTTTTTTTTTTTTGATGGGTGGGATTGTGTTCCTGTCTTACTGGTTGTTTGGCCTGAGGCTTCCAACACTGGAGTTTGTAGGCTGTTGGGCAGAGCTGGGCCTTGGTGCTGAGATGAGGACCTCCAGGAGACCTCACTCTGATGAATATTCCCTGGGGTCTGAGGTTCTCTGTTAGTCCAGTGGTTTGGACTGGAGCTCCCACCACAGGAGCTTTGACCCAACCCCTGGCTTGACCCCCAGCACATGAACCAAGATCCCACAAGCCACGCGGGGTGGCAAAAAATAAAGGGAGAACAATAACAAAGAGTAAAAAATAAAATTAGACTAGGAAACAGATATGTTAGAAAGAATATAAAAGTATAGGTTAAGCAACAACTGGGAAGTAAATCAGAACCACAATAGTAAAAAAGAGTAGAAGCAAAAAAAAAAAAAGGTGGAAAAGGCCTTGGCTGTGGAGGATGGGGCCTAAGCAGAGGCAGGGTTTGGGTGGTAGGCAGGGTCTATGCTTAGGACCCACAGGCCTGGAAAAGGCTTGGGGTGGGGCTTAGGCTCAGTGGAACAGAAGGGGCCCAGGCAGTGCCTCTGGTCTCAGAGGGTGAGGTACCCCACCTTCCTTGACTTTATCTTGCAATCCTTCTACTGATTTTTTAAAATTTTGGCTTTTATATTTTTTGCTTATATATTTTTAATACAGAAGTACTCATTCTTGTTTCTGATTTTTCCTTTTTCATAATATTACAGTCATGTTTTATGGATATACTGTCTCCTGCTTATCTCTGTGAAGGTATTACTTATTTTTCATGTGTCTGTTAGTTTTGTTTTAATATTCTTGTATTCTCTAAATTCTTTTTTTCCACCTGGCTTCTTTTGGTTTCTCTCTCTCCTTCCTGTTGGAAGCTTTCCTCAAATATCAAAAATATCTATTGTGGGGCTTCCCTGGTGGTGCAGTGGTTGAGAGTTCACCTGCTGATGCAGGGGACACGGGTTCGTGCCCCGGTCCGGGAGGATCCCACATGCCGCGGAGCGGCTGGGCCCGTGAGCCATGGCTGCTGAGCCTGCGCGTCCGGAGCCTGTGCTCCGCAACGGCAGAGGTGACAGTGGTGACAGACCACGTACCGCAAAAAAAAAAACTATTGATATTTATGAATGAAGCAATGAAAAGCTGAATTAAACTGTATTTGGGGAAAACTTATCAACTGGGGCATCACTATAGGAAGCTAGCTAGTCTTTTCATTAACAAGCATCTGAATGTCAGACTCTTTTCTCTAGAGCTGACTTTCTCAACTTTGGCATGTTGACATTTGGAGCCAAATAATTCTTTGTTGTCAGAAGCTCTTGTGCAGTGTAGAATGTTTAGCAGTATCACTGAACTCTGCCCACCAGGTGCCAATAGTAACCCCCTTCCCAGAGTTCAAAAAATGTCAATAAACGTTGCCATATGTCTCCTGGGGGGCAAAATCACCTTGTTGAGAACCATTGCTCTAGAGCCATGTGGCTTCTCAGGAGAAGCATTCTAACTCCCTGTTCCGGTTACTGTTACTGCATAACAAACCACCCTAATACTTAGTACATAAACAACCACCATTTTGTTGTGCTTCAAGTCAGGAATTGGGAAAAAGCACGGCTCTTCTCTGCTCCACAGTGTCTGGGGCCTAGGCTGAGATGTCTGGAAGTTGGAACCAGCTGGGGCTGAAGGATCTGCTTCCAAGTTGGTTCTTCACTTGGCAGGGATAGTTGGAAGAGGGGGTGCAGCTGGGACTGGAGACCAGAGAGACTATACACGGCCTCTCTAGGACAACAGTCTGGTAGTTGGACCTCTTGTGTGGTAGCTCAGGACTCCAGTGTGAATATTCCAGCCAGCAATATGCAAGCTGCATGGCCTTTTATGGCCTGGCTTTTGATGTCACATGGCATCACTTCCACTATAGTCACAAGCCCGCCCAGATTCGGGGAAGGAGACAGAGACCTACCTCTCAATGGAAGAAGTGTCAAAAAAAATTGCAGCCATGTTTTAAACTCACTGTACTCTGGTACAAGGTGATATGTGCCTGCGGCAGGGTGGGGTATGCAAAGGGGGGAACATTGAGTCCCACTGTTCAGTCTTCAGACTTTGCCCTCATCCCTCTGTTTTCATCCTTGTGGTCATTTGCCTTCTCTCTTGCCAGGGTCTCTCCTGTTTAGTGTCTTCAGTCTCCTGGTGTGTGGGACAGAGTATGGGGTGGGATCTGGGAGGATTCCAAACATTTGCCCTGGTTCCTTACCCCACCTACTCGGTACCTGACCCCCACTGTCATAATACCTGGTCTCCCCAAGGTCTTAGCTCCCCCAGGGTTCTGAGGGGGAAGTGGCTTGCCTCCTGTCAGTATACCCCTCTGCGGGCCAATCTCTCGTCCACCGATGTCTCTTTACCATTCTGTTTGCTCTTGAGGATTTATACCATTTTACTTTATGACTGGCATTTTAGTGGCACTTCAGGAGAGAAAGGAGATTGAGATGTGTGAATAACCTGACATGTTTAACCCAAAGCTTGTTACACTTCTTTTGGATGGATTTATGGTGTCTCTAAATTGTGTCATAATCTTCTCCCCTGTTGAAGCTCTGTCAAGTAGTACAGTGACCACATTTAATGTTTTGCTGATAATTTAGAATCATCTTTATGAACATACATGTTTACCTTGGAATTATTACACTGAGTAGAGCTATCTGTCCCCCTTCATGTTGGGGACTCAGATCACTGTGCTAAACCTCCTTAACACCTTTTCTCATGGTCATCTCTGTCTCTGACTACCTCTTGTCCCATTTATTTGTGGCGAGGGTGCCACATTACAGCACATTAACTTCTAATTTACTCCTTTTAAATGGCTACTAAACTAGATGACCATGCCGGGTGTCCCCCCACCAGCCTGCCCCTACCCATTTTCTACCCTTTCCCACACCCCCAGTGTTTGACCTTTGTGGATTGCATCAACCAGCCTCCATGCCCTCATGCTGCCAGTTGGGTTTGGTCAATTGAAGACCCTGCAGGAGATAAGAGAGTGATTTTGGGGTGCATTAGGGTACTTTATCCATAACCCCCTCACCAGCTCCCTCCCTCGCCAAGCCTCAGGTCAGGTCTGTGTTCTTCTCCCTAAAGCCACCACTCTTCCCAGTAGCCCTCTCCTGTAGCTCTCTCAGGGTCCTAGTAACACTCCCACCTCTTCCTCCCTCCAGGCGGTGGTAATTACTCCCCACTGTTGCTGGCTCCAGGGTGCTTCTCCTTCCCTTATCGGTTTCCTTAATGCTGCTCACCCCCTTGGAAACAGTCCTTCCTTAAGTCCTCCTTGTTACCTGTGCAATGTGCATCTGTTTCTTACTGGGACTCTGCCCATACAGAAACTTCTGATTTACATCTAAAACAAGAATGGTCCCTGCGTGAGCCCTGAGAGATCCTCCTTGGAATGCTGTGTGTGAGCTCTGTGACATCTCTGGGCTACTGGGGCTTTTGAAAATTCACTTCCTAGCTGTTAACTAGAATACATAGTAGAGGGTACTGGATTAGTGACGTCCCCATATGGGGAAATGTGACTTACTGGAATGTTTTGAGAAGGACAATAAACATGTAAATAGAAGGAAACATGGAGAGAGAATTTGTAATGACTTTCAGAAATTATATGACAGGCTGGAAAATATCAACAGTTTCAGAAAAGGATTAAATACCTTCCTGGATAACAGACCCTTGCTGGGTCTTACGGTAAAGTGGATGTTTGGGGGAGATCCAGGCCATGTGTGGATGGGATTCCCCAAATGTGACATTAGAAGTCCCTCAGTTAGGACCTGCTGGGCCTCTGTGCTTCCAGGTCAGTAGCTTTTCTGATGGTTTTGCTCTGGGGAGTGCCATGTGCTTGTCTGTCCACTGGCCTGAGGATAAACTGGAGACCAGAGAGGCCCACGGCCTTGTAGCGGCATCACATCTCATGCCCCACAGCAGCCGAGCCGTCCGACGGGCACCTCTGAGATCAGCATACACGACTCTCCTGCTGAAACACACTCTGGATTCTCTCACTTCCTCACCCTACTACCCTGTCAGCCCTCCATTCTGTTGAATTGGTGCACCCATTTGAAGCACATGTACCTCTAGGGGAAAAGTAGAATCAAGATCTCTTTCTGGCCACCCATTTCCTGAAGCACAAAAAGGAAATGTATCATAAATGCTTCTTAAAGATGACAGGAAGGGGTAGTGCCACTCTGGGTGGCAAGGGCTGCCACTGTGGTATTTCACAGACCGGGAGGTGAGGTGGCACATGGGGGCTGAGGTCCCAGCCAGGGGCAGCCCTCAGGGTCCAGCCTTCCTGACCCACTCCAGCAGACTGTGGACCTTCAGCCCTCCTGGGCAGGAGGAAGAGGCCTGGGAGGCATTACCTCTATTTCACAGGGAGGAGCCCAAAGCCAGGGAAATCGAGAGCTGCAGCTTTGGTGAAGAGAGACACTCTCATACCCTGGCTTCCTTATTCATGATTCTTTTACCTTTAAGGATTTTTCTTTTTAATTTGAGGAGTGGGGACTGGGCAGTTGGAGATAGGTTTGTTTGTTTTTAGTGATGTATTTTTCAGTTGCTTATTCTCTTTCGGCCCAGGCCACTCTGTGTCCTTTAGCCAAGTGAGCCCAACCGAGGCCCCTCAGCGTCCCGACCAGCAGAGGTGCAAGAGGCCCATCCTGTTCATTCTTGCTCTGTAAACGCAGTGCAGGAAGGCAGATATGCAGGAACATGGCCAGAGGAGCCAGCCCAGGGCTGGAAAGTGGAGGGCCCTGGAGGGCTGGGGGAGGCTTCTGAGGCCTCTCTGCACTGCTCCTCCCATAGCAGAATGTTCATGGTCCATGCACTTCTGGGAGGGTAGATGGGGCCCAAGTGGGCAGAACACCTGTTTAGTGTGTAAGTCCATGTCCTGTCTTGTCCTTTCCAAGAATTCAGCCATCGCTAGGTTGGCTGCCACTCACCACATGGAGTGGAAGGAAAATTCTCAAACCAGGCACTTGAGCCAAGCCTGCCGTGGTCCTCAGCCAGATGTTGCAAGTTCCTAATCTTGACCCAGAGGCCAGGGAGTTGGGGCATCATCTGGAGCCCAGAGTTGGCTGTTACCCACAAACATAGACACCCTGAGTGGGATCTACACACCCCGCCTTGCCTGAGGTGGGACCAGGGCCCACTTCGTTCCCATTACATACCATTACAAGATGATGCAACCAGGTTTCAACAGACACTGCCAGGGAAGAAACACATTACAACAGCATGCTTCAATACTTCCTCTGCCCATGCAGGAGGCTTCATCACATCAACAAAGTCGGACCTCTTCCCACCCCAGTATCTCACCCCACCAAGCTGGAAGTACCTTTTGTCAGGACCATTTACGGCCTTTGAATGGGCCTGCTTTTCGCAAGAAATTAAACCAGTGGCTTTCCATCCTGGCTGCACATTACAGTCATCTAGAATATTAAAAAATACTGATGCCTGGGCCTCACTCTCACCCCAAAGATACTGACTGAATTGATCTGGGTTTTTTTAAAAAAAAAGATTTTATTTAAGTCTTTATTGAAAGATAATATACATGCAAAAAGAAGAAAAAGAAAAAAGCACAAACCACAAGTGTAAATCTTGGTGAATTTTGACAAAGTGAATTTACCCTGAGTAATTTGCTTCCAAATCAAGAAGCAACATCACCTGCATCCCCTGGTGCCCCAAAGGGTAACCACCATTCTCATTTCTAATGGTATAAATTAGTTTTGCTTGTTTTCAAGCTTTATATTATATAAATGGAATCATACAGAATATATTCTGGCTTCTTCCGATCCGCATTGTGTTTGTAAGGTTCATCAAAGCTGTTGCTTGTAGTTGTTAGTTAGTTTAGTTAGTTAATATTGTAGTAGTTAGTTTATTCTCATTGCTATAGGGTATTCCACCATGTGGATATTCCTCCATTTATCTATATTTGGGTATCTGGGTTGTTGTTGGCAATTTAGGGTTCTTATGGCTACTGCTGCTGTGAGCATTCATTGGTGTCTTAGAGCATGTTTGCTTGTATTTCTGTTAAGTCCATACTTGGACATGGAATTGTTGGGCAGGTATGAAAATCAGTATGTTCGGCTTTTAGTACCTTATGCCAAATAATTTTCCAAAGTGACTGTACCAATTTATACTCCCTCAGGGATGTATGAGAGCTCTGGTTGCTTCACATCTTTGCCAACAATTGGTATTTTCTAACTTTTTCATATTAGCCATTCTGCTGGGTGTGTGATGATATCACAGTGTGGTTTTAATTTGCATTTCCCTAATGACTAATACAGTTGAGCGCCTTTTCACATGTTTGCTAGCCATTAGTCTTCTCTTTGCACAGTGCCTGTTGAAGGGCTTGGACTTGAGTACTTTTAAGAAGTCCCTTAGGTGGCTCTAGTGTGCAGCCAAGGTTGAAAACCATCGAGCAATACCACAACTTAGCACCTGCTGTTCTGTTTCTCAGTGTCCTGTCTTTGAGCTTAGAGTATTTTGGATCTGAAGGGACCTAATAGACCTGGAGAAAGATAACTGTCACCCGCCACGCCAAGATGAGCCTACCAGAAAGAAGCAAGAGATTGGAGCTAGAGTTTAGGCAGTTGAGAATCTTTGGGAATGTGGTCTCCACTTCAGAAGAGTTCAGAGAGGGCCTGTGGTGTCCCCAGCTGCCACAGGCATTTCCTGACCACAAAAACGACCCCTTGCTGGTCACCCTGGAGCTCCAGGCAATCATGTGGAGGAAGTGGAGGGGCCCTATGCCAGGTACTTCCCGGTTTCCAGGCCAGCATGAGTGGGACCCAGCTCGTGTGGCATTGTGGTCAGGCTGAGGACAGGGGAGCATGTGTTCCAGGGACCTGGGTGGGGCTGAGGGAGGCCTGCTCTCTGTGGCCTGTCTCCTGGTTCAAAGAGCGGCCTGTGAGCCTGTCCCACATGAGTCCAGGCCTGGCTAGCCCTTGAGTTCTGTGGGTTTCCCTAAAGGTTCCAGTTGTTGTCTCCCTCACCTGTAATGGTCTCCTCTTCCTCTGCTCCAGGACCTTCCTTGGTCACCCTACCCCTACTTGACCCCTTACTCCTCTGAACTCCTGCAGCACTTAAGAGTGAGAGCACACGATGTGGCTCCTGATTACACTTTGCCTTCTATTAAGTCCTCATTGCATCATCGGTGCTCATCTCATCCCCTCTTCTGGACTGCAGCCTCATCCCAGGGCTGCTGGGTGCTTCTCTGTGCTCCCCCCACAGTGGGTTAAGTGGCATTTGGTAACTCAGTGATAACATCCTCCAAATTGGAAAGGGAGGTGCAGTAAAAATACAAACCACACACAGAATCCTTCCCTCAGACTGGAGCTATGCAGGTGTCAAGCAGCGCTGCCCTGTGCGGGGTCCGTGTTGGCACATGTGCCACTCGTCTGGTAGGCAAGTTGGACTACCAGCAGGGGCTAGGATGCTGGTGCCTGACTGGGTGTGCATAGAGGCCTCTCAAGCAGAGGGGTTTTGCACACCCTGATGGAGTTCACCGGAGTGCCCAGGGCCCGCACCATGTGCTCCTTGAAAAGAGCAGAGTCCACCTTCTGCTGACTGAAGTCCTGCCAGCTGCCTGACGTGAGATGAGGCGCAAGGAGCCACGTGGGCACAGTTGACATTTTGGACCCTGGTGAGCACAGAGCCAACTCCGGGCTCTTGGTTGTTCCATGTCCCCTGGATTCAGGCCCATCTTGGAAATTGCTCTGGACACAGAGCGCTTCATGTCTGATAGTCCAAGTGCAGATGTTGGGGTTCCCTTGATTGGCCCAAATGGTAGCTTGAACCAACCAGCAACCAGAGTGCTGTCTGCAGCCTGGAAGAACACTCTCCTGGCCGTGTATGAGAGTTCTAGTTGCTTCAGTCCTTGTCAACGACTGGCATTTCCTGTCTTTTTCATATTGGCCATACGAGTCTCTTAAAAAGAGAGACCCCTCTTGTCCCACTGACCCTGCACCCCTGCCTCTCCCCTTTCACTCAGCCCCCTACCCAGCAGTCAAGCCCTTCAGTTCTCTCATACTTGGTCTTCAAACTCTCCTTCTCCCCTGGCTCCTGTAGTGCAGTGTTTGGCATGCACCCGTCTCCATCATCCCTGTAATGCTTCCCTCCACCCCCTTCCCCATGGAGTACAGCCATGCTGTCTGCCTCTCATGGCCAAGATTCTGGAAGGAGACATCTCCTCTCTCCTCTTCCTTCTCCTCACCTGCTCATTTATTCAGCAAGTATTCATTTTACCCCTGTCTGTGCTGGGCATAGCAGGGTTCAACAGTGAAAAAGACTAGCTGGCCGTGCTCTCATGAAGCTTATAATCGAGTAGGGAAGACAGACATAAATCATTAACAAGTGTTTATGTAGGGGCTGCCACAGCCCAACAGCACAGGCCAGTTCTTCTCTGCCCTCACGCACCTGCAAATGTCTGCTCGTCTTTTGGGGCTCAGCTCACATGCCACCTCATCTGTGCTGCCTTCCCCATGCTGCACCTGTAGACAGTGTGGCCCGCTGGGCCCACAGCAGCCTTGGGTATAACTATTTCCCACAGAGGTTGAAATCCGAGGGCAGAGACCAGACCACACTCACCTTGGAGCCCCCTGCCTGGCACAGAGCCCAGTGCATTGGAGGTGCTCAGTAGATGAATGCAGGTCCCTGCCAAGACTGAGCCAAAGTGTGTGAACATCTCCAGGGCCTGAGAATCCACATCTTTCTTCTTCCTCTGTTTTAATAGCCTTTTCTTTCTGCTTATCATTATAAAAGTAATTTGGGTTTGGTCACAACCATGTGCATTTACTTAACAATACTGAACTTTACATTTATAAATGGTTATGAATGTAAATTTTATGTTATGTGTATTTTACAACAATTTTAAAAAAACATAGTGCAAAGATTAAGTACAAAAAAGGAGGAAAAGGTCCATATTATCAAGAAATAAAGGACAAAGGATTTGATTCAGGCAAAATTGTATTTAAAAAATAAGTAGTTTGGATTAGGGAAATGCAAATCAAAACCACTAGAGGGGCTTCCCTGGTGGCGCAGTGGTTAAGAATCCACCTGCCAAGGCAGGGGACACGGGTTCAAGCCCTGGTCTGGGAAGATACCACATGCTGTAGAGCAACTAAGCCCGTGTGCCACAACTACTGAGCCTGTGCTCTAAAGCCCGTGAGCCACTACTACTGAGCCCGCGTGCCACAACTACTGAAGCCTGTGCGCCTAGAGCCTGAGCTCTGCAACAAGAGAAGCCACTGCAATGAAAAGCCCGCGCACCGCAATAAAGAGTAGCCTCGCTCACTGTAGCTAGAGAAAGCCCGCGCACAGCAACAAAGACCCAATGCAGCCAAAAATAAATTTAAAAAAAGAAAAAAACCCCAAAAAACCCCACAGTGAGATAACACTTCGCACCCTTTAGAATGGCGATTATTAAAAAAAAGAAAAGAAAAATAACAAGTGTTGGTGAAGATGTGGAGAAATTAGAACCCCTGTGCCCTGCCGGTAAGAGTGTAAAATGGTACAGCCACTGTGGAAAACAGCATGGCAGTTCCTCAAAAAATTAAAAATAAACTTACAATATAATCCAGCACTTCTACCTCTGGCTATATATCCAAAAGAACTGAAAGCAGTGTCTCAAAGAGATATTTGTATACCCATATTCATATCAGCATTATTCACAATAGCCAAAAGGTGGAAACAATCCAAGTGTCAAGTGTCCATTGACAGATGAATGGATAAGCAAAATGTGGTATACACACACAATGGAATATTATTCAGCCTTTTAAAAGAATGAAATTCTGCCACATGCTACAACATGGATGAACCTTGAAAACCATTATGCTAAGAAGTGAAATAAGCCAGACACAAAAGGGCAAATATTGTACGATTCCAGTTATATGAGGTACCTAGAATAGTCAAATTCATAGAGATGGAAAGGAGAAGGGTGGTTGGCAACCACTGGCAGTAAGAGAGAATGACGAATTAGTTTACTGTGTTTGGAGTTTATGTTGAGGATGATGAAAAAATTCTGGGGCTGGATGGTAGTGATGGCTGCACCACAATGTATGTGTACTTAATACCATTGAATTGCACACTTAAAAATGATTAAAATGTTAAATTTTATGTATATTTTGCCATAAAAAAGTAATTTGTGTATATTACAGACATTTTAGAAACTATTGATAAACACAAAAGGGAAAAATTCAAATCATTTCATAATCTTACCAGCTAGAGAAAGCCCGCTGTTAAAATTTCAGTATGTGTCTTCCATTCCCTTCTTGTTCTCTCTCCCTTAAAACAAAAGTGTGTGTGTGTGTGTGTCTGTGTGTCTGTGTGTATCTATCTTTGGAGACCACACTGGACCTATAGAAAGTCTCCTCACGTCTATCTCTCGACTGTTCCCATTGATACTGCTTCCTTCCTTCCAGCCATTCAAAACAAGGCTATCCCTCTTCTGGACATCAATCCTTTGAACAATTTCTCACACCTAATTTCACTGCCCTGTACCTCTCTAGGGTCACACTGCTCTGAAAATGCCCATTCCTTCCATATGTCTGAAAATACGGTACAGAGCAGGCTCAGTAATATGTTGGAAGGGGTTGGAGAGAACAGTGAGTGCCCCTCCCACTTTCTCAGGTACTGCACATCTTAGATGCGTCCATCTGAGCATGTCATCTCCCTTGGATGATGCAGTTGTTGGGGTTCCTGCAAAGGTTACTGACAGTTAAAACCCTAAGCCTGTTGGTCAAGACTGCCCTTGGCCCAGGTCCCCATGCCCTGCCTTGGTGTCCTTACTTCTTGGACCTGGTGCTGGACCTCACATTATCCCTGTTGATTCTTACTCCTAGATTCAGCTTCTGCAGCCAGTCAAGAGCCTGTGGCCTCATGCCCTGAGGAGCAGATCTACCCTCTCCACTCTGAGGGAGCTTGGAGAAGAGTGAAGGCCCCATAGGCTCTACCCCTGCTGAGCTCTGGGAGGAGCAGCCTCTTCCTCTCTTCTTCCCTTGAGAAGTGGGCCTCCCTCTTTACCCCAGGCACCACTCTGCCCTGCACAGCAGTGAGTCAGCAGGAATGAGCCAAGCTATCAGAGATGAGGGTGCCCTCCACCACATGGGTTCTGTGGGCTGAGGAGGCTGCCATCAGGCCTGGCCCCAGGGCCATGCCACAGCTGTCACGCCTTGTAGAAGTGCCCCCAGGCCCCTACATTTGTTACCACACATTTGGGCAAACTCCTTCCCCAGCTTTGCCACCTGGTCCAGGAGCCAGGGCATAGCCAGCTTCATTGGCAGTGAGAGGTGAAGCAAGAGGCCACAGCCACTCAGGTGACTAAAGTTCATGCCTGTGCCCAGCCTTCATTTGTTTCCAAATCCAGCCACAGAAGTGAGACCCTTCTCTCTTGGCTCTGAGGCCTCCACGGAAGGGTTTATTTAAGGTTTTAACCAGAACCTTTATAGCCCAGCCCTGAGAAGATTATCTTTTTACTGCAACTTTGATTAATGATTGATCAAAAAGTGATACTAGAAACACTGAAGAACAAATTTGCCCTAGAGATTACAAAGGTCTACATCTGCCAGGCTTGGGGACCTGACCACCTGCTCCAAGGTCAAACCAGGGTAAGGGTGCATCGGAAGACCCACCTCACACACAGTCAGTCTCTCTCGCACACACACACAGGGGAAAATACAGATGTAAATGTCCTTAAATCCTTTTTGGAATTAGCAGGGACAGAGCAAAAGGACATAAGGGCTCTTAATAGAATTTTTCTTTCTTTTGTTTCTATTAATGTGTATTACAAATTAGCATCTTAAAGGGAAATTTGGAGTGTGAGGAAGAGAGGGGGTTGTGTGAGGACCATGACCTGGGCTTCCTGCAGACCTCCAGCCCCAAAGAGCTGACATCTGAAATGTGTTCAACACCAGGCAGGGAAGGGGGAACAAAGTTTCACAAGCACTTGTGGGAAGAGCCTTGGGGAGTGATTGGGCTGTGCTCAGCTGTGCTCTGGCTGTTTTGATGGTCACTGAGGCTGTGAGTCCTAGTGGGGCCCACAGGCCACATCAGAATCAAAGGGCCCAAATCTACCACCTCAGAGACTGGGGAGCCAGGAATCTGCATTTTAACAACCTCCCCTACCTGGGGTTCAGCCAGTCCCCACCCTCTGTGAGCCCCAGGGAGCAGGGTACTGGCTGGAACATTTTTTCTTGCCCCTCAGCTCCTCTGGTGCCCTGGGGCATGATGAGTGGAGAGCTGGCAGAACAGCTTCTAAATGGAAACTGGAAAATGAAACTGGAAATCACAGCCTCACAACCCAAAGAGCTGGGGTTTCTTTTCCACAGGGAGAGTCCCTGAGGGAGAAAGAAGCAGAAGAGGGGAGAGAAGCATGTTTAGTGAAGGCAGCAAGGTGTTCCTTAAGGAGCCTAGCAGTGGGCACACTGATGCAGGGTTGCGACGGCAGCCTGCAAGGCGGGCAGTGCCAGCAAGGATGGCCACAGCGCTGCGCCCACTTCCCCAAGGCTGGCTGGCTGCCGTCAGCCCTGGAGGGCTTCCTCTCCAGCAAAAGCTAATTTCACGCTTTATGCTGAATAGCTATTTTCAGAGGTACTTTAGGAAGGGCTCTGGCTCTCGGTTAATCTGAAAATGTTTAATTCTGAAAACACTTCTCAGAATTGAACGTTTCATACCAGCGTTTCATCCCAGCAGCTTCGTGCCCCGCTGGCTACCTTCACCCACCTTGCCCCTCTGGGGCTCTCCCACATGCACACGTAGGACTTTGATGAGGAATGGAGGTGCTTGAGTTTAGCTGAGGATCAAAGATCAAACACGCTAATCTGCCCTCCCCTCTGGTCTCCTACACCACACACACCTGAGTTTGTGCTCAGCCAGGCACAAACACTAAAAGCAGCTGCCGCAAAAGCACCGCGAAAGCACCGCTTGAGGCAACTTTGAAGATACTTAGCAGAGCAGCTTTCATGGAAGCAGATTTCCTGAACGGACAGGAATGCGGGGGAGAGGAGGGCAGTGGGATAGGGGCCAAGAACTGTCCCTACCTGCTAACTCCACACCATCCTGGCTTCCCCAGCCCCCAATCCCACACACTCCTTCTTTGGTTAGTACCCTGAAGGGGTATCCTCTCAAAGCACGCTGTGTTTTCCAGCTATTCGTGTAATTATTTGCCTCATGTCTGTGTCCCTCACTGGAACTAAACTCCTCAAGGCCTGAAACATGGTCTGTGTTATTTACTGCTGTATCTTTGATGCTTTGAATAGTGCCTGACTCTTGGTAGGGGCACAAAAAAATGTATGTTCCATGAGTGAGGGCAGCCTGAAATGCCTAGTAGAAAGACAGCACTCCAGCAAGGGATACGCACTGGCATATCTCAGTGTCCAGACCCCACCCCAGGCCCTCAGAGTGCCTTTAGCTGAGGATGCGGTGGACAGATAGACGCCCCAGCTCTGCTGCCTGCAGTCCCCAGACCCTTGCCCATGGAATGCTTTAACTGCTCCATGTGTACAGGCAAAGGCTTAGCAGGAGGAGGTGGGAGGTGTGGCGTTCTTCTGTCACTCACCCTCCATGGCCCTGGCTTTGCCCCCCTTACCTGACAGATGGGCTCACATAGCCTCTTCTCAGGAGGCCAGGACACCTGTCTCCCTGGGCTACCCAGAAAAGAAAGGCCACTTCATCATATTTTTTATTCTTATTTTTTTATTTTTGGCCACACAGCATGCAGGATCTTAGTTCCCCGACCAGGAATCGAACCTGCGCTCCCTGCAGTGGAAGCGCAGAGTCGTAACCACTGGACCGCCAGGGAAGTCCCAAGAAAGGCCACTTTTAGCCTGTGGGTCAGGAGGAGACAAGTTGGGGCTGGGTGCGGGGAAGAGGGGGAGGTGTGAGTGATTAAAAAAAAGAGGGGGGCAGAAGAAGGATGCCAGTGAATGGTCCTCCGGGAGGAGATGTGGACATGGGAAGCAGCCCTCATGTCAGGCCCCACACCTTTTATTCTTCTCAGCCTCACTTTCTCATCCATAAATAGGATTTGTTCTTGTGTATATGCCTTGAGGGGCAATATAACAGAAGATAAAAGGGCAGACTTTGGAATTGGGCTATCTGGGATAAAATCTCAGCTCTGCCTTTACAGACTAGTAATTGACCTTGAGTCAGTTACTGAATCTGTCTTTGCCTCATTTTTCTCTTCTGTCAAGTGGGAACAATTATAGTGGATTCTATGAGCTAATTCATGTTCCTGACACCTGGTGAGGGCTCAGTCATTGTTAAGCTATGATTACCTTAGCAAGGCTTGTGAGGATCCAACAAGATGGCAGCTATGAGCACAGTTCCCAGACTCGAAGGTGCTATACAAATATGAGGAAAGAGGGGAGTATTATTTTGGAAATGTTGAAGGCACAGCTTCCCTCCCACATTTGTCTGGGTTGGGGCAACAGTTTTACTTATTTAATGTTAAGCTAGAAGATGCACCAAAGGAAGGTGAAAAACTGAAACCGCCAACCGTTTGAGCAGTAGGCTGCACTGAAACAGTGTGGCCAGTGCAAATGTTAAGGGCCTGGGCAAGGCCCACTTCCTCCCTGCGTGCCATGGGTCTTCCTCATACCAGCAGCTTCCCAAGGCTACAGGAAGTGGGTCCAGGAACACTCGAGGGTGTGTGCAGGGAGGCTTGGGCCGGAGGGTGGCAGCTGCTGGGGAGAGAACAGAAGCCTTTCAGGTCCTTGGTGGGTCCTGGGGCCGCCTGTGCAGTAGCCCCTGCCCTCTCCCAGGGGCGGGAGAGGCCTGCCCAGGACGGGCGTGTAGCCTACTCCCCGCCAAGCCTCTTCTCTCTTGAGGTTGCAAGCCACTGTACAAAAGGCATCCAGCCCGAGAGAGGCAGGCTGGAGAGGAGAGCCGAATCTTTTCTCAAAGGAAGTGCAGTTGTGGTTTTGAGACGTTCACTTCACATCTGTGGTTGGTGTTTCCCAGAGTTCTCAGAGGTGAATGCAGGGTCAGCCCGATGTCGCCAAATAAGGTTCACCAGTGACCTTAGCAACAGGCTTCGCTGCCCATTGGCTGCCACTGCTGCTGCCAGCCAATGCGGCCTCTGCGGGCCGGCGCTGAAGCTGGGCTGAAGCTTCCTCATGTGCAGGGATCCAGCTGCTCCCTGTCAGGAATCACTGCCCTTTGAGGCAGCCACAGATAGGTAGAGAGCTCTGGGCAAAGGTGCGAGGGTGGCAGGACTGCCTGGGTGCCCACGTCTCAGAGTCGACCAGGCCAGCACTCCAGTGAGTCTTCACACAGCACCGATCTGCACCGTCAGCTTGATGGCCTGCTCCCAGCTTGCCAAGATGAGTTGTTCCCTACCACTCCCACCTTGTCCTAGCTGTCAACCTTGGAACTCCATAGTTCCTATATCATAGTTCTGTTCATTCCTCCTTTGTGCCAGGCACTCTGCTAAGCTCCTTCTACACATTATCTCTTTTAACTCTCTCAATAACCCTGTAAGTGAATTAGCCGCATTTTACAGATGAGGAAACTGAAGCTAAAGAAGGTAACCGGCCCAGTGTTGCACCAGTAAGTAAGGAAGCCACAATTTAAACCCAATTTAAACAAATCCAGATCCTACACTATTAACTGTTGCACTATATTGCCAGTTGCTCCGTGTCTGTGTGTCTCAGTGTCTTCATCTGTGGCATGGGATGATAACACCTACCTCACGGGTTTGGGTTGTGGATTATGTGGAGTGACTTACGTGCAGGAACCTAGTGCAGAGCGGCGGCTTGTCCAGCGGCACAGCTTGGCACCTGTAGGCTTGGTGCCTGATAGGTGTGTTCCACAGGCACCCTGCACGTCCCTCTCGCATGGAGTGTGCTGCTGAAACATTGAGGTTTCTGGACCGGACTTCTCTGGGGCCCTCACATTTGCTTTCCACTTCCTCATTCTCAGCCTCCTCCCACTCTCACCCAACTACATCACCGAAGTAGGGAGGCTGGAGAGGAGCCTGCTGCTAGAGGCCCCGGCCTGTGAGTGCCAGAGGGGACAGGATGGCTGGGCTGGAGGGGACAAGTTTGGAGGACCGAATGTAGGCCAGTCAGACTGCAAGGGCAGGCATCCCTCATTTCCTCTATCCCAGATACAGCACTGCTTCCCTGAGAAACATTTTCAGAATTGAAAAATATGTAAGTGATCTGGTAAAGATGAAAATACATGTACCCTGTAACCCAGCAGCCCCACTCCTCAGAATCTGCTCTAACCAAAGTCTTACTCATGTGCACCACAATATTCACAAATAAATTGTGCAGTATTCCTGCAGTGAAAATGAATGAACTACTGCGACCTGTAATACTGTAACATTGGATAATAATACTGTAATAGTACTGTGACTCTCATCAACATAATGTTAAATGAAACTGCAGAAGAATACACACAGTATAATTCCTTTCATGAAAAGTTTAACAACTGGCAAAACTGAACTGTATTGTTTAAGGATATATGCAGAGGAGGTAAAACTATAAAAAGCACAGAAATTATTATCACAAAAGGCAATTTAGGGGACTTCCCCGGTAGCGCAGTGGTTAAGAATCCACCTGCCAATGCAGGGGACACGGGTTCAAGCCCTTGTCCCCTGAGGAGCCTTGGAAGACATGGAAGGTCTGGGAAGATCCCACATGCCACAGAGCAACTAAGCCCGTGTGCCACAACTACTGAGCCCGCGTGCTGCAATTACTGAAGCCCGTGCTCAGCAACAAGAGAAGCCACCACAATGAGAAGCCCACACACCACTACGAAGTGTAACCCCCGCCCTCTGCGACTAGAGAAAGCCTGCGCGCAGCAGTGAAGACCCAACGCAGCCAAAAAAAAAAAAAAAAAAAGTCAATTTAGTCATGAGCACAGGGGAGGGTTGGGGTTGTGATAAGGAGGGGCATAGGGGTCTTTGAGGGTGTTGGCATTGTTTTATCTCTTAACCTGGTGGTGGTTATACAGATATTTGCTTTCTATTTTATACTTATTAAACTGAACATATGCTTTGTGCATTTTTCTGCATAATTATTGTTTTGCAAAAAAAAGTGTACGTGTCATTTCCAGCACTGAACAGTGCAGTGAAGGGACAGGACGGCAGAATGAGCTCTACCCCACTTGAGACTTTTGGAACAGCATTCAGGAGTTTCCACACTGTTTGCTGAACCACAACTTTTACTGCAGATGAGGAGCCTTGGAAGGAATGGAAGATAAAAGCCATTATGCAATTTAGGATTGAAGGATATCCTTTGACATATCACTGCAGCTGGGGATGAGGAACCAGTGCTTGTGGAAACAGGGACCGGATCACACCATGGTCAAGACCTGGCTGGACTTGAGGGGATCTGAAGGGGCAGAAGGACACATGCAAAGACCATACCTGGGACCCAGCCTGCTTGGTCCCCATAGAGGGTTAATTCAGCTGGAGTTCCCATCCCAGGATCCCCTCTTCAGGGATGTGTGTATTTGTTGATTGTCTGCCGTATGACTGACCCCTTCAGAATACTGAAAGAAAATGGCCTTCAGCAGTGGCTGAGACAGGGCCTTTTCGGATGCACAATAAAGAGTCTAAGGCTACAGGATGAGGCCTTCCTGACTCTGCCTCCTAGGGTGCTGGCATTTCTAAGCTGGCAAGCTTGTTTTATTCATCCTTACTTCCCTAGCCTGGAGTAGGCCATGAATGACAGTTAATAAACGTTTGTGTGTGAGCCAATGTGTAGAATATATGCTGTAGAGAGTAAGGCCTCATCAGGTCCCAGAGAGGCAGCCTCCCAGACACCCTGCTTCTCTGGTCCATCTCCAGACACCCTGTTTCTCTGGTCCATCTCCAGACATCCCAGCCAGCTACAGCAGACTTCCTCAGGAGGTGCCCAGGGCTCTGGCCCAGTGGCAGCCTGTCAGGTGTTAAAGATAATCCTCCTTTTTCTTCTCCGAGCTAAACATCACCAGTTTCCACAACCATTTGTCTTATAGATCCAGTATTCTGGTTATCCAGTCTGGAGAGGCAATAAGAGGATCCAGACATGGTCTGAACAGGCAGAACCATGGATGCAGATGGCAAATTTGGGTTTGTGTGCTTTGACCGTCAGTGTATTCAAGCTGTGATGGTGACAGCTGCTGGCATGGCCTCTGACGTGGTAGGAAGGTTCAGGGTCACTGCTGAGTGCCTTTCTTTCTTTCTTTGGTGTTCTCATGGGCTTTATGTAGACACTTTTTTGATGTAAAACCCCAAGCTGTAGTCCTTGTCACAGTGTTGTATTTCTCCTCAACTCTCCTGGAGACTCCCTGAGAGCTGGCTAGAAGTAAGCACTCCATAGGTATTAGCTCCTGTTATTTACTTTATTGTTTTCTTTATTTGAATGAACAATCATGAATTCAGTGTCATTTATTGAGCATATACTATATGTCAGGCACTGCTAGGTGCTGGAATATAGCAGTGAACAGAATAGGCTTATCCCTTCACTCTGGGAAGACTTGTTGATTGAATGGTTGAACTCATTATGATCCACACCACCACCACCAGACATTCAGACATTCACTGGGTGCTCTCTGTGTGTTCAGTTCAGAATATATCCTCTCTGCCTTCCAGTGCTGGAATGTGGGAGTTGTTGAGAAAGATACCACTGTGGGAGTGAAAAAACACTGGACTTGAAATCTCTAGAGATCAAGTCCTAGCTCTGCCAGAAACCCACTGTGTGACCATGGGTGAGTTGGCTTGACCTCTCTGAGCCTCAGTTATCTTGTCAGTGAAATGAGAATAACAATACATCCCTCAGAGGCAAAAGAGGATCAAATAGGGTCACTACACTGCACAACTCCAGGGGGGTGCCATTCAAATTTTAGTCTCTGCAGCTGCTGGTGGCCTAGGATTAAATGAGACCACTTCTGCTGTGCGACCTGAAGTTAACAGTCAATAAACGATAGCTATTGTTATGTACAAGTTAGAGGGAAGCAGGGTTCACTGCAGGCCAGCAGGCTGCATAGGATTTGGCCAGGCTTTGTTCTTCAAGGAAGGGCAGGGCTCTGAGAAGTACAGACTGTGATGCAGGCAAGTGCCAGGAGCTAGCGACTCCCAGGGCAGGTCTGGGAGAAATGAGGCTGGTGAGGGAGGTGGTAAGGAGAAGCTACTGGAAGCTGAGCATGGAGTAGGGATGGATGAGACTAAGACGAATACTTTAATTATTGAGCTGCAGAGAATCCTAGAGAGCATCTTGTCCAGCATCCAGTCTCACCGGGCCAGCAGAGGCCAGGGAGGGAAAGTAGTTGAGTCTCCGAGATCCTGCAGCAAGGGCCAGGGTCAGGGCTCCTGCCTGTGCAGAACCCAGCTCAAATGACTCTTCTGGCCCAGTTTATGGTTCCACAAAAGGAAGTCCCTGGCATTTTTCACATATATATATATATATTTTTTTTCTAAATATAAAAGTACTTATAGGTCATTGTAGAGCATTTTTAAGTTATACAAATATAAAGAAGAAAATTTAATCACCTATAGTCCTACCAAAGCTACCACCATTAGTATTCTGATGCATTTCTTCCAGTAGGTATCCCACATATAAAATTATATATTATATATTCATTTGATTGGAATTGTATTGTGTATAGTTTCATGTTCCACCTTTTCCCTGTAAAATCGTGAGTATTTTATGAGAAGGAGGGACTGTTTTTTATGCAAAAGAAACTCTAGAAAATTTTTTTTCTTAGGGGAAAGAAAAGGTGCAAAGCCCCAGTCTGCGGGTGGTTGGGAGGACATCCTGCGGGCTGCAGCGTGGCTCTGTCTCACGTCCGGTCTGAGCTCTGAAGCAGTGGCTCAGAGAAAGACAAACCCTTCTCTCCTCTCCTGGCCAGGGTGCAGCCTCCTGCCTGTGGGCAAGGCAGAGTTGATGAGTCTGCACTCACCCTTCCTTCCCTGACACAGGATGTATGCTCATCCACTCCATACAGAAGTCTGTGGGGCCGTGATCGTTATTGCTCATTAATAACAACAGCTTCTCAGTCTGTGTAGCACAGCATTTTCTCATGCATTATCTGACCTGAGACTCACACACACTGTGAGGCAGGTAAGACAAAAGCTGTTAAACCTTTTCTGGATGAAGAAGCAGGCTCCAAGAGGTTTAGTGCCTTATTTGAGGCCACACAGCCAGTAAGTGGCAGAGCAGGGATTTTATGAAGATCTGGCTGACATCCACTTTAGTGATTTTTTTCCTCTAAACCTTTTTCTCTCTAGTCCTAGGTTTTCCTAAGCCAAACTGAATTCCCTTAGTGAGGCCAAAGACAGAGAGCTTTGAGCATTATGGGTGTGTGGAAAGGACACAGAATGCCACCCTGGGAGTCCTAAGGCAAGTCCTGCCAGCTCTGGCTGGATGTGCTGGGTAGCCTGACCTCAGGGCAGCTCTTCCTGGACAGCTCAGAGCCAGAACCTCTGGAGCTTTGGGGAATAGGTTCAAGGAGGCAGCTGTTTCCTGTAGGCACATCCAGCAGAGGCACTATTCTTCGGCATCCTTCTTGACCCACCCAAGTCACGGAGGCCCATTCCCTGCGCAGGGCTCCAGAGTCACAGTGTCTCCCAGGACAGAGTCGGCTCTTTCACAGAGCGACTGTGGGACCCTGTGAGACTGACTCTAACCAGGGGATTCTGAGCAGTTACATCCTTCAGGTGGTATCCCAGTATTGCTGCTATAACAAATTCCCATAAATTAAGTGGCTTAAAACAACACAAATTTATTATCTTACAGTTCTCTAGGTCAGAAGTCCAAAATGGGTCTTAACTGAATTAAATTCAAGGTGTCAGCAGGCTGTGTTCCCTTCTGGGGACTCAGTAGAGAATCTGCTTCTTTGCCCATGCTAGCTTCTAGAGACCACCTGCATTCCTTGCCTTGTAGCCCCTTCCTCCATCTTCAAAGCCAGCAATGGCTGGTCAAGTCTTTCACATAATGCTGCCTCCCTGATTCTGACTCTTCTGTCTCCTTCTTCATTTAAGGACCCTTGCGATTACACTGGACCCATCCAGATAATCCAGAATAATCTCTTTATTTTATTTTATTTTATTTTATTTTTTTGCGGTACGCGGGCCTCTCACTGTTTTGGCCTCTCCCGTATGCGGAGCACAGGCTCCGGACGCGCAGGCTCCGCGGCATGTGGGATCTTCCCGGACCAGGGCACGAACC